CCAGGGGCCGTGGAACCCAAGACATCCACTCTTTAGTTCTCCTAAGTTTGGCACCCACCTCCTCCTGGTCAGCGAAAGCCCGAGAAGCCGCCAGCAGCTCCTCGGGCTGGGCCTCGCCCGCGCTCCACGGCAGGCGGGCGCGCGGCAGGCTGCGCGAGCTCCCCCATCATGCGACGCCCCTTGCGTTAGGGCGAACCCGCCGAAGCCTACGAACGAGAACGCGAACTCCATCATCATCCAAAGAGCGCCCGCGGTCCATGAGATAACGAAGCTCCCTTAACCACACCTGGTACTTTCGCGCCGCCCGAGCTGATTTCGAACATTTTGGATGTGGCCCTTGGACATGCTCCAAGATCGGTTTGTCGACAGTGCGATACCCATGGCCCCTTCCAGTGTAACCGTTTTTTTTCCCCCTGGACCCGCAATGCCTAGGACATCGCGCAACTCGTCCTCCATGTGCTCGCGCAGGAGGCCGTATATAATGGACAGAGTGTCCTCCGACTCATCTGCGTTGAAACCTGTGAAGAGCCCATCTAGATAAGTCCAATCCTTTGGGGCAGGGGTCGGTCCCACCGGCTTGTCAAGCGGGAGCGGCTTGGGCAATTTCAAACAGCGCTTCATCTTAGCGCGCGCGTCGGTGCCCCAGACCAATCGAAGTGGGCAGGGTGTCCTGTTGGCCGAGTCACCCGCGCGATCGCAGGACGCGGCGACCCCCGCCAGGTCATCGGAAACCGCGAAGTAGCCCAATTCCCTCCAAGACTTCCCCACGCGACAAATCTGTTTATTACAGTCGACGACGATACCTCTCATCTTGGACGCGCCTGGGACCTGCTGAACCTCTGGGGGTAAGCTGTTAAAGTCCGCGTGCGATGACGAAGAGCTTCTGGGCAGCAAACAAGTATTCACCCAACTGGTTCAAATTTTGCCTCTCTTTGGCTCCTAAGACGCCGTCGCCGTCTGGCAAGTGCACTGAGGCCACGAAGAAGCCCCCTTTTCACGCACCCGTTGACCCAGGCGACGGGGCACCTGGCATGTATGCGATGATCGCGAGCTCCCTGCACCTGCTCGACACCGGCGTGCTGTCGAACACCCAGGCCACATCCCGAGGACACTCCGCCCTGAACAGTCTTGATTGCGCCCGTCAGTCTCAACTTCCAGCCATCGGAGTTCATCGCACTCTCTTTCTGCGAAGTCTGGGGCTTGAGCATCCTGCACTCTTGGAGGCAGATGGCCTGGTCATGCTGGTGCGCCTCATCCGTCAAAAATGCCGCGGCCCCCGCCCAACCTGAGGTATTAGCCGTGACAGTCGACCATGTCTTACGGGATGGTCGGTTGGTCCTGATGTCATCGGCAGGCGGCCCTTGACCCCCAACCCATGTGGAGCTCGTAGCTGACGGCGGTGGAGTACTCGGCCGAGCCCTCCAGCGATTCTCGCCCCCTGAGTTCTACAGGGGTTGGGTCTCGGCTATCGCTGGGCTCGCGAAGGTGCCCCCGAAGCGGTCGTCGACGTAGTGACTGCACTCCCCGACGCCTCGCAAGCCGCGAGGCTGTGCGCCGTGCTAGGACTGCTGCCGTCCTGCACTGGGCTCGCCTCCTTTGCCCGCCCCAGGCCCATTGCCTTTGCCCTCAGCGGCGATGGCGCGGTTGAGCATGCGCAGCGCCTGGGCCTTGCAGTCCTCTGACGCCAGGGCGACGTCCTCCTCCTCAGGTACTGGCACGTCCTGGGCCGCCTCTGACTGCCCGTCGCCTGGCGCGGCTGCTGCCGTCGTCGGGGCGTCTGGGGCGGCGGCGGCGCTGGGCTCGTCGGGCCCTCGGCGCCTCTTGGTCTGCTGCAGGCGCGCGCGCGCAGCACCTCCTGCTCTTGCTTTGCTTTCTCGGCCTTGGCTTTGAGCTCGCCGAAGAGTTGCTTCGCCGTCTCCTGGAACCGCTGCTTGAGCTCCTCCTCTCTGGTTTTCGCCTCGGCACTGTCCGCATCCGCTACATCCTGGAACTCTGCCAAGCCAAACAGGTATTCTCCGCAGGTGGGCCCCCGCCCCGTCGCATCACCTGCCAGCAGGTCCTGGAGGTGGAAAGTGGGCTTTGCTGGAGCCCGCTGCACCTGAGCGGCATGGGGCTCCGTGATTGCGTCCCTGTGCTGTTTTTTCCTGCACGTCCATCTGGTCCAGGGAAGCACGTAGTTGTGTCTTGCGGTCCTCGATCTGCTTCTGCAAACCCATGATGACGCCGTTCCGCTCCTTGATCCCCACCTCCAGCGACTTGATGGCCTTCCAGCAGTGGTCTGCCCTCTGCTGCGCCGAGGGCTGCTTCTGCTTGAGCACCAGCAGTTGCTCGTAGTATGAGGCCGACCCGCTGGACTTGGACTTCTTGGCCAGGGCCACCAGCTGCCGTACATCCTCGATCGAGAGGTCGGGAGCTGGATCTGTGCCTGCCTGCAACATTCCCACGGGGAGCGGATCGGGGCCAGCACCGACCCCACCCAGACCAGGAGGATGAGTAGGCTGATCCCGACCCTTGCCTGCCTTGTCCCTGCGCTTCCCATGATCGTCTGCACTGGCTGCCGATGCGGTTGACTTCCAATGCTGTCCACAATGTTTGCAGCGTGCCCGGTTCCATTTCATCTTCGCGCACTTGCAGTGAACGCACTTCCAGGTCTTCGCGCTGCCGCCATAGGTCATGGACGTTGCGCGAGGAACCGAAACACTGCAGGGTCGATGCGACAACTCTGGCTCCCCACCCTGGGCAGGGCTTCTGGTCGGGGATTCGCCGCGGTCCCTCAACCAGCTTGAACCAGGCTGCGAATCATGCTCCTCCTCCTCCTCCTCCTCCTCCTTCCTCTTCCTCCTCGTCCTCCCTCCTTCTCCCCCTCGTCCTTCCTCTCCCTCCTTCCTCTCTCCCCGCCCCCTGTTCCAAATCCCCAATCTCCACCTCTGTAGAAGTGCGAAATCAGCAGCATGCAGAAAACACGTTCAAAAAGGAGCTGCTGCACGCATGGCACCCCAGCACACTGGAGGGAGAGAGAGAAAGAGAGAGAGAGAGAGAGAAAGAGAGAGGGAGAGAGACGAGAAAGAAAGAGAGACATAGAGAGAGACGAGAAAGAAAGAGAGAGAAAGAGAGAGAGAGAGAGAAAAGCTGCCCCTCGGCACCAGGAGGTTTGGATATGGCGCTGCTCTCTCATCGGCGAGAGGCACGTCGCTCGAGCCGCGCCCATCGACCAGGGCTTGAGCAGGTGTCTCGTACCAGGCGTCTGCGCCCCAAGAACTCGCAGAATCCCCCCCCCCCACGCCTTCGGTCGAGACATCGCAAGGACAGGGGAAGGGAACTCGTTGAACATCTCGTCGCCGCTCCTGGAGGTGTGGTGCCCTGGGGTGCGAGGAGGCAGCTTGGCCTCGTCGGCGCCCGCGTAGAAGTCGGCTGCACGCACGAGTGACCCTGTAGGCGAGACTGAGCTCCGGTGTGCGGCTCTTGGGAGGCGCGAGGGGCTCCGACTGCAAGCGCGCAGGCCGTTGCTGTCGCATCGCCTTCCGCGATCGGGGGGCCCAACGGGCCCGCACCAACGTCGGGGGGAACGAAAGGGGGGGATAGCAAAGGACAGGGCAGAGAATCAGCTCACGTAGCCGATTTTCCCAGCGCCTCCCGGCGCCAGCAGGCGCACATATATCAAGGGATGGGCCCGGCGGCGGGGCCGAAACCGGCTGCATGCAGCAGATTTCGTAGCCCCCCCTTTCCTCATCCCCCCCTCGCGTTCGGCCCGACAAAGGTCACTCCGGCAAAGGACCACTTTTGCGTGTAGCCCAGGAAGGGCGCGAGATGCCTTGGACCCAGACCACATGGCGAGACGGAGAAAACGCGCCAAAGTTGGCAGCTTCGCCAAAGACCGCTGGTTTAAGGAGCACGGGAAGCTAGAGACGGTCGGTACGGGGAGTGCAGAGGGGTGAGCGACTCGAAACAAGCCGAGTCGTGGCAAGTCTTGGGAAAAAGAATTTCAAGAGTATACGCCGATCGGGAGAAGTAAGTAAACACGTGAAGTAGGAAGGCGGAAGCAATAGATTGGGTTCAGGCCCTCCGAGATCATACCAAAACGCAGCAACAGCATATTGATTACTGCAGTAGGAAGGCGCTTGAAATTGATTGGAATCTGCGAATCCAGAAGCAACGTTTTTCCAACTGGAGGAGTTGGACAAGGTCGAGACACGATCGAGAGTGGACAATGAAGCGAGCAGCTCGTTCCACTCGCGCCGCAAGGTGTTGCACTAAAGGGCCGCATCGAGAGCTGCGGAGGTGGTGTGCGCTCGGCAAGAAGGGGAACGCCCGCGCACCTGTTCCCCGCATGCTAAGCAGTGTAGCGATGCTCAGTCTCTTCTTCGTCCTCGTCCTCGTCCTGATCCTCCTCCTCCTTCCCCTCCTCTGCCGCCTCCTCCTCCTCCTCCTCCTCCGTCCTGTACCTTCCGCAGTCCAGGCTGTCTCTCCTCGCCTGCCCGATGGCTTTCGGCCCTCCTTCGCGGCGGCCTCGCCCAACGCCACGTCGCATCGACGGGCGAGGAGGAGGAGAAGGAGGAGGAAGAGGAGGAGGAGGAGGAGGAACATGACGAGGAGGACGAGGGCGAAGGATATGGACGAGAACGAGAGGACGAGGAGGAGGAGGCAACCCTCGAAGATGCCGAAAATCCGTTTTCCTCCACCGTCGCCTCCGCCTCCTCCTCGGCGTTGGCCGTCTGCCAGCGGTCCGGGTCTATCGACGGCCGACGCGGCGAGACCAGCGGCGCCAGAACGAGGGAGCGCAGCGGCAGAGACGCAGAGGAGGGAGGGAGAGGAGAGGGGGGGGGAGATCGGGGAAACAGAGCGGGGAGATGGGGGAAATGATTGCGGAGGGTCAGAAAGACGGTGATGAAGGCTGCCGGGAGAAGCCGGGGAACGGTTCCATGCACGAGCGGGTCCATGATTAGCAGGCCGGCAGGCAGGAGAGAATCCAAGCGCGAGGGGTCGCGCACGAGGGGGTGCACGTCGGCGATGTTGCTGCCGTGCCGTGTGCGCTGGTGCTCGTCATCGCTGTTGCCGTGGCCAGCCTTCCAAACACCACGCTTGCGAAGAGGAGAAGGACGAGAAACGGACGAGCGACCACCACTGCGGACAAGCGCCCTGGGCCTCGCAGAGGCCACGGGGGTGAGGCAGTGGCCCCTGGAATACGCCGGTTGACACCCCACGCGAGACAACCACAACATTGGCATGGGGAGAGGAGGCGGAGGATGATGATGAGGAGGAGGAGGAGGAGGAAGAGGAGGAGGACGAGGAGGACGAGGAGGAAGAGGAGGAAGAGGAGGAGGAAGAGGAGGAGGAGGAGGAAGAGGGGTACCCACTGCGATGTTGGCTGTGGATTTGACCTTCATGAGCACCGTACTTGCTGCTAAGCAAAGACACGGCAAGTGTACCCATCCCCGCCCGCATCGCAGCTTCATGGGGTTTGGGCACAAGGAGTTGTGGCGCACTGCACACTTGAAATCTTACCCTGCCCCCCTTTGTCAGTTCTTAGCTGTTTGTTGCCTCCAGGAAGCCCGTACTAGGTTCCCTCAACTGTGTGCTGATCCTGGTCGCCCCACTACCTCGTCGCGGGCTGTCGTCAGGCCACCACACGATTGGAGCCTCAACGACGTACGAGCGTCAAGGGCCATGGTGGGCCATGATGATGCCTATGACGCATGGTGCGTACCAGCAGGGCTACCACGTGGGACCCATATCTGGTTCGGAATATAACCATGGATTACACTTCTTCCCCCGAAAAGCCTTCTGCTATCTGCGCAGGCCTGAGTGCACCCACTGGGTGGCGCTAGTGCCCTTCTTCAGCCTCCTGAAGGGCATCCTGGCATTTGCCACCTACGCTCGCCCACGTGGGCGTGAGGCAGGACAAACAGCGCAACGCTGCCCCGCTGCTGCGTCGGCGCGCGGCCATCTGTGGAACCGACCATGTGGCGTGCACTGACATCCTCCCAGTTTCGTATTGTTCTCCCACGGTTGACTTGCAGAGCTGCCTGGCCCTGTGCCTAGCAACAACCTTGAATCAGTGAAGAGCCGTGCCGCGGAGGGATGGCAGCCTATCCAGCTCCTATCCATGCTCCGCCAGGCAAACCTCCGCCAGCTGTTGTTTTCGGCCTACCTCTGCAACTGCGCCTTCGGCAGGAACTGCTTTCCTTGTAAATATCTCTGTTTGTCTCAAATTTCTACATTCGTTTAATTTGTCCATTTCCGAGCGCCCGTCCAGTTTTAACGGTGATATCCCCTGCTCGCACCCTAAGGTTTGTGGGCCGCTCCGAGAGCACTGTCCTTGTGGCATTCCGCTCCGCGGTCTGCTGCAGCAGCCTGCTTTTGTTCTTCACCCTGTGGTCGTATCGCCCATCCTTTTCATCATTGGCTCAGACTTTCCGCCATTCGACCGACCGACCGACCGACCGAGGAGAAGGAGTATTTCGCATCTCGCTCCCCGCGAGCTGCCGACCGAGGAGGAGGAGGAGGAGGAGGAGGACGAGGAGGAGGAGGAGGAGGAGGAGGAGGACGAGGAGGAGGAGGAGAAGGAGGAGGATTCACACACAGTTTGCCGAATTGCAGAAATCAGCATTCGCAGAAGACGCAGCAGCAGGTGGATACAGGATACAGGATACAGGAACTCCGCGACTCCTCTCGGCGAGGAGGAGGAGGGAGGAGGAGGAGGAGGAGGAGGAGGAGGAGAGGAGGAGGACGGAGGAGGAGAAGGAGGAGGAGGAGGAGGAGGAGGAGGAGGAGAAGGAGGACGAGGAGGAGAAGGAGGAGGAGGAGGAGGAGGAGGAGGAGGAGGAGCAGGAGCGGCGCGTGGAGCGCTCTGGAGGCGGGGTCAGGAGGAGCCGCCGAGAGCTACGAGGACAGGGGCCCCAAAGCCGACCCTGAGAAATCCGCGCGGACCTCTGAGAGCTCACGCCCACGGCATTTCCCAGACGCCCTCGGGTGATGAACAAATCACGACGGCAGGTTTTTGACAATTTTCAGCCTCTGGGGGCCTTCACGGGGCCTCGGGACCGTCAAAAAACGACTCAGGATGAGAAACCGGTCCTGGAGAATGGGTCGAGACCTCTGAGGGTCGACGTTATGAAAAATCATGACGTCGGGGGTCTGGGCTTTGTCTTCGCCTCTCGTGCTGTCGCATCAGTGCTGCAAGGGGCCATGCACTCATGGCGTCTTTCTCTTCCCTCGGGCTCCGGAAGACGAGGGGTGGGCCAGAGCCGTCTGACGGGGAGGGCACCGATCGCCGGTGGTGGCACGGACCTGCCAGGGACGCTGGGGAGCACGCCTTCCACTCCCCCTGGCCACTCTCTCTCTCTCTCTCTTTCCCGGACCTCGTCCTTGGCTCTACCTAGTTTCACCGACGTGGCTGCTGCTCTCCTCCGCCAGCTCCTGGCTCCCCGTTCGCCTCCAACAGCCAGGGCAATGCATTACCCATACCTCCGACATCGTGAGGTTCCATGCGTGGTCCCAGGATCCCCCGACCCTCTCTTGGGGATGATTCTGCTCGTCCTGGATCGTTCTCGTTGCCGGCCCCGGAGCCCGAAACAAGCGTCGGAGGCAGAAGCCGAAGAACCAGCGCTCGCATCGCGAAATTACTAACAGCAGCTGCCACTGTACAGTCGGGGCGTTGACCTAAGGAACCCTAAATAAGGAACGAGGCCCCTTTTTCCCATCACTTACAGTTCGATCTCCCATCGAAGACCTGAGGAAAACCTAAGGCAAGCTGCGAAACAATCAAGGAACACGGAGCCCCTCCCCAACGAAAAGGGTTCCTTCTTCAGGGCCCCGACTGTACGCAGCACGCAGCCCGCAGCGTGTCTGCACGGAGCTCGGCACGTAGACTGACAGCGCAGGGCTGGCGCGCGACGCGTTCGCCAACACGTTTGGCATCCTCCTCCTCCTCCTCCTCCTCCTCCCTCCTCCTCCTCCTCCTCCTCCTCCTCCTCCTCCTCCCCCTCCTCCTCCTTCTCCTCCTCCTCCTCCTCCTCCTTCCCGCCTCCTCCTCCTCCTCCTCCTCCTCCTCCTCCCTCCTCCTCCCCTCCTCTCCTCCTCCTCCTCCTCTCCTCCCTCCTCCTCCTCCCCTCCTCCTCCTCCTCCTCCTCCTCCTCCCCTCCTCCTCTCTCCTCCCTCCTCCTCTCCTCCTCCTCCTCCTCCGCCTCCTCCTCCTCCTCCTCCTCCTCCTCCTCCTCCTGATCCTCATCCTGGCCACCACGCGCGCGAGACTGAGCATCGTTTGGCCGATCCCTCTGCCCACGGGCGCGGCGTGGGCCCCACTGCCCGATTCTCCCCGAGGAGGAGGAGGAGGAGGAGGAGGAGGAGGAGGAGGAGGAGGGACCGAGGTGTGGGCTGCCCCCGCCGGGCTTCGGGGGGGCACCTCCCCAACTGGGGGTGGTGAGATGGTGGGGATCGGGATGGGGACCCAGACATGCGACGCCCTGATTTTGCTCTCAGGACGGCGTCCCTGGAAATCCCGACCCTCTCCCTGGGACCGGAGTCTCGTCCCGAGTCGTTTTTGGACAGCCCCGAGGCCCGGCGAGGGACCCCCAGGGCCGAAAAAAGCAACAACAAAAAAACAAAAAAACAAAAAACCTTCCGCCCTGAGGTTTTTGCGACGCGATCCTGGCTGGGGGTGGGGGTGGAACTCCTCCGCAGCCGCAAACCCCCGGGCCAGGTGCGGAGCCCGGCCGCCCGCGCTCCCTCGATGCCTGCAGGGCTCGGGGGCCCCGCCGCGTGCCGAGCACCACTGCAGGGGCCCTGGGACACACCAGTAAATACAGACGAATAAAAAAACAAATCCGCACATTTTCCCATATTTTTCAGGGTTGTGTCTTCCCCCCCCACTTCCCATAGTTTCCCATATTTTCTGGGGAATCGAGCCTTACTAGTGTCTGTGTGTTTTTGTTCCCTCCTGAACCACACCGTGGCCTCGCGCGCAGCGCCGATGCGTGCAGAGATGGCCAGGACTGGTTAGTGCGACAGACGCGTCCCCAGATTGTGTTCTGCTTGTTTTTGGATATTCCTGCTGTAGAGGGGCATGCCCGGCTCAAAAACATTGTTTCGGAGGCCCATTTGCCCCCCTCCAGGAGAAGAGCAGCGCCCCCCTCCTTGGCGCGCGGAGCGCGCCAGGGAGGCCGCCAGGGGATTCCAGCGCCGGTCCGAGAAAAATCCACGCGGACCTCCGAAAGTTTACGTTTCCTCGGCGGCGCGCCCGGGGGGGAGAAACGCGAGGGGGCAGAGGCCTTCGCGGCGGGGCTCCGCAGAAGCCCCCTCTGTCCTCGGAGGAGGCGCAGACCACTGCTCGGAAGGCTCGGAATCGAAGGCCTCCGAGCCCTCTGAGGCCCTGAGATCCGACGCTCCAACAACAAAAAAATCGGAGCAGGCGGCTTCTGGCAATTTTTCGGCCTCGGGAGGCCCTCGCCGGATCCGCGGGAGCGTCAAAAAACTGCGCAGGACGAAAAAGCGGTCCCTCCTCCTCCTCCTCCACTCCTCCTCCTCCTCCTCCTCCTCCTCCTCCTCCTCCTCCTCCTCCTCCTCCTCCTCCTCCTCCTCCTCCTCCTCCTCCTCCTCCTCCTCCTCCTGCAGGTGGCTCCGCAGCGAGGCCCCGCGCGTGCCGTTTGCCCCGCGGCGGGCGCACGCGGGCGGGCCCGCGCCATCGGGGCCCCCAGCGCCGCCAGGCGGCGCGTCCAGCGAGGAGGAGGCGGCGGCGGCGCCGACAGGACGGCGACGCGCGAGCGCTCGCCCGCCTGGCACAGGCGAGAGCGCCGCGAGCGTGCCCAGGCTCGCCGCGACCTCAGGGCGAGGCTGCAGTTCAAGCTGCTGAGCCAGCACCACGGCAGCACGCCCCGACGTCGGCCAGCAGCATGGGACGCTCTGCCGACTACACAGTATGCAAGTCCTGCGGACAGTGGTGGTGGAACTCGAAGCTGGAGGGCATGAACTACCGCTGCGGGACCTGCGACAAGATGCTTCCCAAGCCGAAGAGCCCCAAGGGCCACGCGGCGGAGGCGGCGACCAGAGGAGGCGGCGCCAGCAGCGG